CCCCCCCCCCCCGACAGGGCTATTGGGTGGTGGCTTTTAAGATGACCAGTTGTGATCAGTTTATTCTACCAGCCCCACGATAACGGAGGAGGATGCTTTCTCTCCGATGGCCGTGACTTCCCCCTCAGCTGGGGAAAGCCTCTGGAAGGTGAACTGCGGGCGCTGTCACACTCCTCATCCTTCCTTGGTCATCTGGGACCTTAAAGACCCGCGTTGCTTTAGGCGACTGCCCTGCCAGCGTCTCAGTCCTAAGCTGTCGCACCCACGTGCTCAGCAGGGCTCTGCCCTCCTTGTCTGCCTACTCACTACGGGGTCCTGGCCAGCTGTGCTCGTTGGCACCAGTAGATATTGTCGGGTGTGTGAGTGGGCGGGCTGATGGATGCAGGTTGGTGGGTGGGTGGATGGACAGACAGAAATGCCACCAACTCTGCATTGTCGGGCAAGCCCGAAGGGTGCGTCTCTGCTGTAGGGCCTTCCTGTGAGGTCTCCACGCAGCAGTGCATGAGAACTTTGAGCCACACAGGACTGCGTTTGCGTCCCAGATCCCCCGCTTATGAGCCTGACCCTCTCTGAGCCTCAGTTTCTTTGGCTGTAAAAATGGGACAGTGATCACACCTACCTTGTTGTAGAATTAGAATGCACATACATTGATGACAGAAGGTGGCTTGTTTCGTACTAGGACAAAATAAGTGGCAGGTACGTACTTGGCAGCTTTCCAGTGAAAGCCAGCCGACGCTGCAGCTGCCATGTGCCCAGCCGCAGTCGTCAGACGCGCTTCCACGTGTATTGTCAACTTCCTGGCAAGGAGCTGAGCGCGCAGGGAAGTAGGAAACGCACGGGGCTGTTCTGGAGGAAACCTCTCGGGACTTCGTTAGCCAATGGAAAAGAAACCAAGAGCTTAGAAGACTCAGATAATCTAGAAAACTTAGTGTAAATAATCATTTTCAGTAGTTTACCTCTGGTTCTTTCACTGATCATACTTGCAAGGAGTAAGGAGAATTCATCAGAATTCTTCCTTCCCATAACACATTTCCATTTATGAGGTGCCTACACCACGCCAGGCACTTCCTTAAGCTAGCTCATTCCAGCCTAATAGTAGGAAGGAATCACTGTCTTCATTCCATGAAAGCTGCCCAGATCCACCTGCTTTGCCTCAGCACGACCGACTCAGAGCTCGTTTTGGACGCCAAGTCTGTTTTGCCCACGCTGCAGGTTGCCACTGCCCTCCACCCCAGGGCCACGGACCCTGACTTGTGCTTCCTGCTCCTGTCCCCGGGGAGCTGAGGCAGCGCTGTCCCCTGGACGGAACGCTGCATCTGTCTGCCTCACACCTGACTTCCGAGTCTCGGGGCTTCAACTCAGCCTCACCCGGAGGAACCAGAGCCGCAGGACCTCAAGTGGCCTCAGAAGCTGAGAGCGAAGGAAGGCAGGAAGGCTGCAAATGGGCAATGTGCTTTCTCCAAAAGCTGGCAGGCGCCTGAGGACCCATCAGGGCTCCCCATGTCGCCTCAACAGGCTGAAAACAGACAGCTGTCTGCCAACGATGCCGAGTCTTTCACAGATTTGTTGTATCCTATACAGCAGCTGATCTTTCCAGACTTCCTGCCACAGGCTGAGTGCTTGCAGAGAAAGCGAGCCGAGGACAGCAGGCGGGCTCAGAGTGCAGTCCTCCAAGCAGACACCAGCAAGGCTGGC